GCTTAAGAAGACAGAACAACTGGAATGGACACTCAAACTAAAAAGCGCGCGCGAAGCGCGCGTCCTGGGGGGGCTTGGGGGGGCGAAGCCCCCCCAAAAAACCGGCGCGGAGCGAAGCGGAGCGCCGGTTTTTTTCAGTTTTAGAGTCCCCAAATAAAGTGGCAGCCCTGTCAATGTATTTGCTCCCTATCTTTGCATGGAGTGTTTGTTTTTGTGTAGAGGTGGACTCTCAGGGTAGGGTGGGATATCCCCTCCATTTTGGCCTCAACTTGAGAGCTTTTTTTGAGCTTGGGAGTTGATTTCAGAGAAAACCAGTGGCACCATCGTGTTTCTCGCGAACTTTTACATAAGAATCAACAGTCAAGTCGCAAATCCCTCACACATGCTACATCTCCATTCGGAAAGCCGGCAAAATCGCATTTTCATCGCGCAAAATTGCGCTAAAAATCACGTGTTTCATGATAAACCGCGGGAAGAATCACGCAGTGCTCCCCTTCCATAAGTTCCGGAATTTGGAACTTCTTTGTTTCAATTTCTCCCATTCCACAATCTTCAAAAGTTCCGGGATTCTTTTTAGATTGTTTCTGAAGTTCCGCGGAAATTTCGAAAATTGCGAAAGACTCGGAACCTTTCGAGAATTTCAAAAGTTCCGGGAAAAATTCAGGAAAATCTCAAAATTTCCGGAATTTGGAAATAGTTCCGGGAAATGGGAGCACTCGAATCACGTGTTATTCGCAAATTCGCAGCAATTTATAACTACACAGTTGTAAAAAGTCAAAATTTGGACTTTTCTGAGAGACAAGCTGTTTTTAAAATGGGAATGCTAAGTACTTTCTGCACCCCTGATTTCGACAGGCTCTTCCCCCCCCCCCCCCCCCCCNCACAACTTTTTCTCATGATGGACCGGTAGGCTCATTTTTCGAAACTTATAGACAAAGTTACAGACAAAGAAAACAAAGAGAAATGTAGCGTTCGTATAAGTGGAGGCGAATGGTTGCAAAAGACAAAGGGGGTCGGTAATACACTCACTATCGGCATTCGGCAACCCACTAGGGATCCTACTATACAGTTGTTCCATCAACAACCACCCGTATCAAGAAAAAATGGGATTGCATCATTTTCCCTTCGTCTATCAATTTCAATAATCAACCCGCAGAAAAAATATATTTCAGAGACCCTCCACTAAAAAGCTAAACAGTGTAATCGTGTCAATAACACCCGCCCGTAATAAATGGGATCGCTCCATTTCCCCTTTGTCTACTTTGTCTACAGCTTTGTCTATCGATATCAATAATCAGCCCGCTGAGATAGAATTTCAAGACCCTGCACTACCAAGCTAAGCAGTGTAATCAGGCGAGGCAAAATTTAGGCTCGGAGGTTAACGTTACGTTTTATCAAATGCTGATCCATAGACAACTTTTTGAGCAAAAATTCAAAAGTAAAATTCGCCTAATTTCAGAACTTTCAAGCAAATTCTAACCCGTTCTTCATAGTCATCCTGCATTAAAAACAAACAGTTTTCTGCCTCGCTCATAAAATTTGTTTTTTTAGACGTAAATATTAAACCAGAAACCAATTTAATCAGACGTGCGACATATTATTACTGGAGAGTCTATGCGCAAATTAAACAAATTCAAACTATTATTTATTGTCATAGATCGACAGTCGGAGAAATTTGGACAAATTCTTGAAATATTATTCAGACTTGTATCAAACATATGCACAGATACAATCAAAATTTCATTCATCAGCGTCAGATTCTATTAGACAACGGTAAAAAGTGATCAGATGTTTGTCAGACGAACAAGTTATAAGAAATACAATTAAGAAAAAGATTCATACAAAGAATGTGAAACTGAAATCGCCTTGAGTCGGATAGAAACAAGCTATAATGTATTGTCATTTCCGTTCACGAGAGATGTTCGTTCACCGGCTGTTTCAACCACAAGTGCGGAGGATACCACTATTCGTGTCTTGGTGTCGTGAATTGCATAGCGCCTCAATTGAAGGCGTTTTAAACGCGTCCGCGCTGCGCTGAATTAGGCGACCGCCGATGTCGCAGTGCATTTACATTCGGCACGAAGCAGTGCAGAGTGCAGTGCGAAATGAGCTTTACTGGAGCGAGTCTGCGAGTGGTTTTGGATAGCTTTTCGCGGCTCGGAACGATTCTTTAATATAATACACCAAAATGAAAAAAAAAAAAATTACGTTCTTTATTAAAAAGAGAAGACGAAAAAAATTATTACTTTGGTGATCTGATATTTCAATTTTAGCCAATGTCTGGGGAAGCTCCTTCCAGAGAAGAGAAATGAAGATTAACGAAATTCACATAAAATGTGAATGTAATACGGTCCTTTTCATGAAAGTGGCGGAATTGTTTCCAAATTTTGAAGAGTTAGAGTAATATTTCTTCTCTGAACGTAATTCCTTTCTACTCTCAGTGTTAATGGATGGATCATTACTTTCGGAAAAACAAATTTCGATAATTTCCATGTTTTTGATAGTTTAAAAATTTGAGGATCTAACTAGTCTTTAAAGGGGGGGGGGGGTGTTTAAAAGTTACAGTATCTATGGCGGCCTTTGACACTGTAATCAATGAGGATAGTGCATTAAACATATCAGTACTAACAGAAGAGTGGTAAACTTCATCACAGTAAGACCTATGGATGAAATGCAACAACCACTCCACCAAAAAAGGATAAACTTCTTCAAATAAAGATACAAGAAAGGTTCCCACGATGATACATGGCATTATATTTTTAATTCTGAAGAAATGAGTGAATGATGGCAAGAGTTTCGATTTGAACAGAATATTGATCTATTAGCAGCCAATGCACAGAGCTGTCACACGGCAGGATTGGTTTTTATGAATTAGTGGAAACAAGACAACATCCAGCGAAAGATGACACAGGAGAGGTTTGTTAGCTGTAAATAGGTTGGTGCAAATTCACACAGTCTTCGTTGGAAAATTGCAAAACTTCAATAACCACAACACTTGACAATGAGCCACACAGGATTTTTGTTGCTTTCGAGCTAAGTAAAACTTTGGTAGGGACATTTTAATTTGCTCAGAATTTAAAATGAGATAGTTTTTTTCAAATTAATTGAAAAGGAGCCAAATTAAATTGCAGAAAGAAACTAAGTGATACTCGGGTTCTAATGAGATTACTGAAGAAAGAAACTTGACTCAAAGATACGATTCAAGACACATTTTTCTTACTTTCCCAAGTTTTAAAAATGCTGATTTTTTCCTCAGAGGAATAGTGCGTAAGATAACCTGACAGCACAACACAGTATCTCAGAAACTGAAGATTAACTATGGTGTGAAGTGATGAACTAGTAAAAATCTACATCCACTGAAGGCCAATGAATTATGAAATGGATTAAACAAATTGGTTAAATATTCACTGAACAGCTCATCGTCAGATCATTAAAATACCCGAGTGTAATCAGCAGTTCTTTATTTGATATTGCTGAGCAAATTATAAACTACTGAGAATTCCTTCGATCTGTTTCCTGATTTCACCCTACATCTCCCAAGTTTTACCTGATATTTCTTTGTTGAATTTGATTTCCTGATTTGGTTGGTTTGATGCGTATAAACCCACATATTCTTATTAACACTCGTACAAAAAATTCTGCCAACTGACTTAGAGACACGCTTTTTGCTCACCTAAAAAAACTTGGTTTGCTACCTTTGAAATCGAGTTTGAATGACCAAGTCTAAGATCAATTTTTTTCATGGATGGATGCTCCATTCGAACCCACCGTTATACTTTCTTGTATCCCTCTTCACTGAATGTTACTTATAAATACTTGCATCTACTGTATATGTCTTGTGACCTTCTTTTCTTGAGCAAAGTAACACCTTGAGAATTTTCTTCCTATCTAAAATTCCAACATTTACAACAGCCGTAAATGCCTTAATCTCTCATAACAGAGTTGGACCTAGAAATCAAGGTGGTAGCTGATTCACTAATTCATCTGGACCAAAAGATGGTGACTTAGCCATTGTGCTCATAATTCTGTAAGAGCTGTAATAAGTTAGTTGCTCTGGTCACAGAATTGCTTGCAGAATTGTTTTGATGGTTTAAGCTTATAGATTAGCAAAAAATAATAAGATCCATCCAAATGCTTAGTTTCTGCACTGAATATAAATGGAGACACTGCCCTATGAACGAAAGGGCGTATGACATCACCCCCTGTAGTAGCAAATACCATGGTTATATCCACCTTGAAGTGATCAATAAGTGATACACACATTTGCAATGGTTGCTTGATTTAAATGCGGATGAAACCATGGTGGAAGAAACCATGGTATGCGCCAATGCGGTGAACGACATCATGCGTCAAGTTTTAGGGAGTACGATATCTCCATAAATATTGACCGCGGTAACTTGTTGTTTGGACAGATCTCACTACTTTTAGCTGATCTATAATCTGAAATCATCAAAACTTGTTTCTAAGACTAGCGCGACTGACCCATTCTCATGGTACAGGAAAAAGGCTTGTTGGAGCACAATTTTCCATTTTCTGACAACAGCGGCAGTACCGAAGTGCTTCAGCATTCCAAAGCAAGCGTACCGATGACTTACAGACAAGCACTCATTAGAACACCTTTAGCTTTGCTTTATTCTCATTCGACTTTCACTAGTTAGACAGGTCATATCACCAAGTTGGGCCTCTATGAGACCTTCATTAGAGCCACTTTTACCAAGGATTCTCAAAGTTTCACTGATGGTGCACTGTCAAGCCTCTTGGTGATCAACTAACACCGGATGCAACTCCTAAACGACTGCAATTTTCATCTGAATGACCTAAAATATAGTCAGTAAATGGTTAACTGTGGACCTAATGGCTCTAAATTTGGTTTGCTTTTCGACTTCCTGTTCACTCAAATCATACTCTATCTCTGCCTTTGGAATTTTGCCGCACTATTCACTTAAGGTTTTTGTAACTGCTATACCTTTGCATAAAAAGTCGAAAGGGAGATCACTTACTTGTCCGTTGCGTTGCATTTGCAAATGGGGCTGGTGCTGAATGATGCCCGGGGGTGGGCCAAGATGGTGCGGTCCATGAGGAAACATCATTGGTTCTCCAGCTCCCTCGTTGTGGTGTTGATGCTGATGTTGATGCTGCTGTTGTGCCTGTTGATGCTGCGGATGCTGAAAATGTTCATCAATTGGTCAATTATCAGAAAGAAAAAAAAGCTGCAAAGTATTTTCATGAACACAGAATAAAAAGGGGAGAAATTCCATTTGTTATAAAAAAAAAGAAGAAAAGTCCAAACGCAATCTGATACTGGGTCGGGTTGATGTAAAATACCTTTTTGGGGTTCATTAGGAAGGAGGCCCAAGTTCAGAAATGGGCAGAAAACTAGCTACTTCTACTAGGTACTACTCCTCTTTTGGTTTATTTTGCAATTAATGGTAGATATGTTAGACTGTAATAAGTAGGATATTTCTTGCCTTTTTTTTTTTCTTTTAAAAGAAATGTTCATGACACATGAATGTTTCAATATTTCATGTTGTCAAGGTTTTTATTAGTTACAGCTGATGTCTGAGTTCTTTGCTTTTAAAGTGCTACTTCTATACAGAACCGCTTATTCAATTCTAACAACAGCATCTTCCTTCCAAGATGTTTGACTTTATAGAATCAGAAAAATTTTGAAGCCTTACAAGACAAGTGTTAGCTCTGGGTTCATTCCTTCACAAGTTGACTGAGAGCTTTGTCCTGTGTGATTATTCCACGCTATATTTACCATCGATCAAAGGAATGATTCTCTCAGTGGCAAAAGAGCTGCCTGAATGTACCGTTTGTGAACTCTACTATTGTTTAACGCTACGCTGCTTTTGAATCAAAGATTTTACTATTGTGAAGGTCTTGAACTTACATGATCAACAAGGACATCATCTCCGAGAGCCCATCTCATCGGAGCCAGCTGCGGTTGCTGAAGCGATTTTTCAAACGGCTGCGGAGGATGCTGCATTAAATATTCCGGCTCAGATTGAGGATTGTGGAAAATGTAGCTCACCATACCATCTTCTTGAGAGCGCGACATTGGCATTTGACGAAGATCTTCCGAATTACCTGGCGCGATTGGTACCTGGAAATAAATAATTTTAGTTCTAAGTAACTGCACAAAACGAGTGTTTTATAGGTTAAAAAATGCATTTGGATTAAAAGAAAGATTCCGTTGACCACCTTTAGGCAAACCCTACATTATAATACCTACTTTTTAAGTGGAGAAAACACAATCTCTGATTCAAAGTTCTCAAATTTGGAAGCCTTGATAATACCAAAGAAATGCTGGCCCCTGTGAGAAAATGTCTATCATTCTAAAAAAAAAAAAAAAAAAAAACTGTAGATGTCTTCCCTCATTAATTTGAAATTTGTGAGCTTTCATCAGCGAGTGAATCACCTCTGCACTTAGAAATGGGGCAGCCATAATATTCTGTAATTCGAAATCAAGAACAACACATTTCAAACTGGCAGAGCCATAAGCTCCATAATTCTAAAAAAATGTATTAGCTTCCCTTTAATCCAATTTCATAAAAAGGGCACAGCATATTGCCATAAGAAAGGTAGTCATTTCGATATTAAAGTGATTGGCCATCCCAGGTTGAACTGAAGGGCTTCTTTAAAATTACTTTTACTCCAAATTTTCCAGATGAAGACTTTTTTCACAAAAAGGTTGACGTCTGTGCACCCATACTTTTTACAGAGTGGTGCAGGACTTTAAAAAAAAAAAAAATTGTAGAAACCCTTTCACAAGATGATCAAATTTAGAGGCTCTAAAAAATTATTTCCGTGTTCTAATTCTGAGTTATTGAAACAGAAAATAAGATTCTGCACCTAACATTCTGCTGATTACCTAGTGACAGAGCTGCTACTTTTTTGATAGAAAATTGAATTAGAGGCTGATGCAAATAAAAAACGCCCCCCAAAATTAATTTAAGATGTTCATAAACACAAAAAACTTACAAAAATTACTTTAAAGCATAGACCTTCCCTAAATATATATGATGGAAATGATTTCCAAGCATCGCTTTAAGCTTGACTGATAAGTAAAGTTACCACTGAGAATATACTCATTGCCAGTTTTTGTGTTAAGTCATCTTAATGTTTTGTTTTATCCTACTATGTTCATGTTCTTGCCATGTCTCCTGCATGACAACATATTGAGCTTGAAGGGAAAATAAACTGCACAACCAAGAAACATAATTATGGGTCTCAATTCAAGCAAATGAAGTTCATTGTATCCCTCTTTGTTTCTTAAAATAACTGAATATAAGATGCAGTAGCAACACTTCTGATTTCAGAAGTCAAATTTCCGCAAAAAGATACATATATTACCCAGGGAAGGAAGATATTTTAATCTTCCTTAACATTTGCATATATTAGGGCAAAAGTTGTGCAGGATGCTCTTGAAGAAAATGACAAGGTACCTGAGAACTTACACATTTGAATTTTCGAACAACAAGCAAATACTTAGTACGTTGCAGCAAAACCTAAGCCCACCATAACTGATCAAATGAACTTTCTGATCCTATCAGGAAGATCCTGTTATTTGGCTGAAATAGATCTAGAGATGTTACTTGAGAGAGCTCATGAAGAATCTTGGCAAAAACTAATCAAATCTGTCAAAGTGAAAAATGGAAATGAGAGTTAAAAATAGGTGTCCATACCTGGGAGTTAGATTGGCGTATCATTTGCGGTGCATGTCCATTAGTTTGATTCAACATTTCTGTTGACTCTCCGCCACCGAGCCACTTCATTTATAGATGCTGCAGAGAAAAAACAAAAAAAACTTGGTTACATGATTTTCAGAATGATAATAAGGTAAATAGTGTTGAGAGGATGTTAAAATCTTAGCTGCAACAAGAACTAGAATCTTGTGAAACTAGTGGAAAGTTTTTTGGGAGAGGAAAATTTTCCTCAGAGTAATTGATAGATCTATTTAAGCAAGAGAGTATTGTGAACACAATTCTTTCGTACGTCACTTTTATTATCATACAGAGAAAAATTTGGGCGATATATTGGTATCCATTTAATGAAGATCTTTTCCTGACATTTTTTCATTTGCTTCTTTAAATTGCATGAAAATTCTTTCTTCACTGAATCCTAATCTTTCTTACAATGTAAGAGTTCTCATCGCATTTCTTGAGAGTTTTGAGACTTCAAATTTAGCATCCCTTGCACCGCTACTTCCTCACTTCAGCACTTTTCTCTTGGTTTAATAGAAAGTACGTAGATTAAAAACGAAAGACAAAAATTACGATTGAGAAACCCTCAGTTTTTAAGGGCTGCTTCAATTTAGGGGTTAGTAACCTACTAGCTGATCTCGTTTCTTGTCTTCATTTTTTCTACTTAAAAAATGCCTTTTGTTAAGTCTTTTGGATTTTTACCTTAATGACTTAATTCTGCACATCCCTAAATTATGGTTCTAACTTCATATAAATCTACTATTGTTCCAAATTATTGCTCTGGTACACCTTCAATTGGACATATTTCTGCCAAATGGAACTATGTGCATTAAGACATGAACTCTGAGACCCATCAGAACATATGCATTTCAGGGCTCTTGTCAAAATGCACATAGCTCCGTTTGATAGAAAGAAGTCCAATTTGCATAGATTTTCCCCTGGCTCCCCTTACAAAAGAGGGTCACAGTGTCTCATCAAAATTTAATTATGAGTATAGCCAAGAGTTTCTTCTAACGTAACTGTTGAGCCTATATTTTACTAATGGGTCCCAAAAGTTCAAAAAATTAGCAGAGAGGATCGTTTGCTGAATGCTTTTTTGGCTTGCGTTTTTCATTTCGGCATTGCTGTGGCACAAGGGCTTAAATTTACTCAGTTTTCATGAAGCGTTTGTTTGTTCCCATCATTGCTTCATTTTGATACCAGAATGTGAGAACGGCTTGTTACTTAATTGTAGGGGGATAAATCTTGGCTAAGTTACCCTATTCTCCATGGACATTTGGTAAACATAGGTTGAAGGACATCAACAATGAGCTTAGGGGTTTTTTTTTTGTTTTTGACCGGCGGTGCAACCCATCACCAAACTGCATTCTTTAACTCACTGGTTGGTGCTGACATCACGACCAGCGGAGCCACCGCCGGTGGATTTGCGCCCACAAATCTACCGCTCGGAGCACTGATTCTCCGAAGATTTCTCCGGTACTTTCAATCCTCCAGTCCGCCGGTGGACAGTCTAGCCCTACTTCAGCATGATCTCAGGCCAAAATAAACAAACAAGCGAGAAAACTGGAGAAAATGTGGTTATTTCGTGCCGCCGCTAAGTCTGATTAATCTGCATCGTCACTGTCGTCTATGTATTGGCCATTTTGTACCAAAATGGCGACCGGTGGTTCCACCGATTAGAAAAAGAAAACCCCTCTTAACAAGGGGTAAGCAGTAAAAGTAACTGAAACACTAGAATGTTCTGATTGATAGGTTGGATAGTCGGGAGCAGTGACTCGACAAACTTTCAAGACAAACAAGTTAAGTCCATAAGAATTAAGGTTCAGCTCTAATAAGACACCCTTTGAGATGTTGAGGAACGATAAAACTTTAAAGCATCGTACTTCCTATACTTGAGACCAGCGCCTTCCAAAGTCGTAAACACGCATTTCTAACCTCAAATCTGCAATTGGATTCTACGAAGTGCAGGCTTTTCCTATCAAAATCAGAATTCTCACAGAAGCCTTCTTCTGATGAATTTGATCCTAGTAAGAAAACACCAAGAATCAGCAAAATCAAAATCAGCAGGTGATTGACCTGCATACAAGCATAGAAAAGACATTACACAATTTATTTTAAAACAAGACTCCAAAAGCATTCACCTGAGTCTGATGTTTCCGACTACAACAAAAGCAAGACAGAAGAATCCAAAAAGCATCCAAAATTTCCTTTTAAAAGTTTTAAGCTTTGATTTTCCTAAATGTAAAAATCAACAAAACCCAAGCTATTGGTGACCAAAAAATTTTAGCATTGGTTAGAATGACGTCTACATAGTATTATCATCCTACATATAGGAAAATGCAGTGCTAAGATGAACTAAATATCTGATTTGGATCTATGAATAATAATACTCTTGATTGATTAGAGAAAGAACGAGATAATTTTTAGGGGAATCAAATACAATTTTTGACAGCTTTGTTTATTTAACCTATATGGAGTTTCAGAAGTCACCTAACCATCATAAAGGAATCTGGTCTCTTAAAAATTATGCAAAGAGGCAAAGTGGCTGAGAGGCAAGAAGCACTCTTACAAACGTTCCGTTGAAAAGAAAACAATAACTGATCTAAAACTGTTCATCCCAAGAGGAGGCATGTTACCAATAGTATCTCTGATCGGCCTTCATGTGTTTCCATTGAATGAAGTAAGCAATCCTCAACTTTGAAATTACGTTAACGAAAATCAATCAGTCGTATTCACCCTTCTGAACTCAATAACTTCAATGGATGAAATAAAATACAGATGAATAACTATAGAACTGTGCTTTCCAAATAGAGCTCTCATCATGGCAGCGCAAGTCACGCACCAAGTTAGTGTTTTGTATCAAATACTTTGATCAGTGCTGAGTTTGCAAACAAAATTAGCCTGCAAAAGTGGTTCAACGTCAACATATTGGATGGATGAACCTTCATCATAGAAAAACAATTGTAAAAATAGAGCGAGATGGAACAGTGGAAACTAAAATATGGAGCGATAAGGTCAGGCCAATATTTGACTAAGGGCACTCAACTGAAAACTACATTCTTGCAGTAGTCCCTAACTCAAAATAAATGAATAAGTGGTATCAGAAATCATAAAATCTACTCAAACATAGGGTTTCTTTGTGGAAAATTGGTCAGAAGTAAATTGCAGTATCAATCAATATGTTCTAGTTGTGATAAACAAGAACATACTGAACAGGCAAACAGATACCTCATTAGATAATAGAAATGGTGAAGACGAGGAAAATATCTACAAGGACCTAAATGCTACTGCTAGGGAAAACGATACAATTTCTAAAACAAAAAAAAGTTGAGTCCAATGAACCATATTTTCGTTGGATTAGCTTGAACCTGTTTTCAGGTGAATGCAGAGTTCAATCAAGAGGGTGATCTCTAGGCACAATGATACAAGGAAATAATCACGTAAATGGTTCAAACCTCACCAAAAAATGTTGAAAGTAAGCGAAACGATCCAAGGTAGTAATGATTTGTCAAATGCCGGCAACACCTTCACTTTTATTTTTGAGAGAAAAAATTAATAAATAAATGAAACTGGATGAAACAACAAACAAAACAATCGAAAATGAAGTACTTCTACTTCATAACCCGGGTACGTAAAATAAGTGATCACGTTTATAATACAGTCACTGACTTATTTTATATCACAACGATAATTAAAACTCTCACTACGATTAAAATATTTACAAATTAATCCTCCATTTAGGAGGTTGAAATTTAGACACTGTACATCGAGCGATCAATTTCGTCTATACATGCGACATCTTGGTTCAGGCAGGCTCGCGCAATGCATCTGGGTAATATTGTTAAATGGCCAATCACGAAACAGCTGTCTCATGAGCCTCACGAAATTGAATTTTTTCCCACTTCCTCCTACACATCAATCCATCCCCTTTATTTGCCCCCTTTCCAGATTAGGTGCGCACATATTTTCTTGAAGTACAAAAAGTTACACAATTATGAAAGTATAAGGGCCAATGAAACAGGAATTAAGCATTAGACCTCTGCTATAAAGGTTTCGTCGCAGAAGGTCTGAATTATTTTCGGAGGGACGGAAAAAATTGTCATGAGGAGGAGGGTTTTAGGGGGTGTTCTATCTGCTTTGCTCGGATAAATTTCTCCATTTATACCAAGGATATGCCTCAAGGAATCCAGGAAAACGCTCAAAATTATTGCGGGGCAGTCTCATCTGACTTGAATGCGTACCATATTGGCAGAATATTCGCTCAACATAATATCGCGAAAAGTTAGATTTTATCCGGCATCAGACATAGGTAAAAAATTCCGATGGGCCGGTCATTATTCAGAATACATAATTTAAGACAGGTCTCCTTCCTTCCTCCATCGCACAACAAAAAATTTCGTTATGGATTTACTGTTAAATGAAGCAACCGTATTTTTCGCAAATTCATGTGCCGTTTACACTGCTTATTGGGTTTCTAAATGATGCAACTATTCGGCCTCTGAGGCCACGCTAGGAAGTATCTTTTACTTTGAAGGCGTTTCTCATGCATCGTCACTCTTCATCATACATTCTCTTGAGGCAATCGCATTCAGGGGAGGTACTTGGAATCAGATCTCGCTGCACATTTTGACTGAACTAATAAACGATGAAACGATGTGATCGGCCACTTAATGTTCCCCTTCAGTTTCAACATAACATAGGCAAAACAGTCTAGAGAAGCGCTATCATATAAAGCGAATCAAAATATCTGAGAATTATAAACCATCACAATGGCGTCACTCCATTACCTTTTATCGAACCGATAAACGGTGTTGTGAACCTATTGGTATCAGGGCCGAATTAAGGGGGAAGCCACACGGGCCGCAGCCTATGGCGGCAAATCTACGGGGCGGCAAAAATTTGCAATTTTTTAAAGAGCAGGTGTTAAAAAAAAAATCGGATTTATAAAAACAAAATTACAAACGAGAAAAGACGACAAAATCTCTCATTTCCTGAGCGTATAGTAATTTCTAATTGTGTCGTCTCTTAGTGACACAGCACCTTCAATAAGTCGCGTTAAGAGAGAGACCAAACATGCAATTTGGCCTGGAAATGATAAAGAGGACTTCAGATCAAAAGGAGAAGCCCTCGGCGCGGCGATCGGCATTTAACACATATTAGCGCCTACAAGACTGCGTGAATACTTCACACGTTGCGTCCAGTCCAACACAGTGCGTTCAGCAGCGGTCGGCGTGAAACGCATAGCGCCTACAAGACTGTCGGAATACTTCACGCATTGCGCCAAACACGGTGCGGTCTGCGCGGCGCGGCGGCGGAAGTTAAAATCATTCATCCACATTTATGTTAGTTCTTTCATAATTTTTTCGTTCATTTCTCATGAATGGAAGGCCTTGTCCACACAGAGGTAGGTTTACGGAACTTAACTTTTGCGCAAAGTTCCGTGAACTTTTGCTAGTAGTGTTGACAGGGCCTACCCAAAAAATGTGTTCAACACGAGTAAATGCGTCTTATGCACTCCTCCCCCGCTAACACGTTCATTTGATGGTTTTTATCGAGTTTCAAAACGAATGAGAAGGGGGCGGTAAAATCTAAAACTAAAAATGGTTTTCTAAAAAAACCAATTTTCGGTCATTTTGAACTTTAACCGGCGGTCATTTTAGAAATTTCGGTTTCTTTGAACATCTATCGTTGAATTCGTTTTTCTCGTGTCAAAATACCACTAGCTACCGATTCTCGCGTAATTCCATCGACAAATAACCGATGTGAATTTTCGGTCATTTTGAACTTTAACCGGCCGCCATTTTGAAACGGTTTGGGATATAGACTTCGAGTTTGAGCGAAAAGTTTTCTTTTTTCATGCTCTTTCGAACGAGCTATCACAAAGGGGGTCTTCCCATTTGAAAATTAAAAGTTGGGGTCCGTTGTCCCCCCTCTGAAAATTTTAGGGGGGCCCAAAAAGTAGCTCCCTTTGACCTAGGAACATCCCCCAAGTTTCAAATCTTTACCTCAATTAGGTAAAAAGTTAGAGGGGGTGGAAGGGACTTTTGGATCACCCTGTAGAAATTTTCACACAGCAGTCCGTGACAATGAAGCAAAGGTCAAAATATACACACAAAAATGAGAAAAAAGGCTAAAGAGTTAAAGATTAATTTTGAAGTGTACAAAACTTTTTGTGAAAATGTGTCCATGTTTTCTGCTAGTTTACGTTTTTTAACTTTGTTATTCCTTTATAGATGCAGTTTTCTGTGGTTTGGAGCATCAATTACACCTCCGGTTACCTAACAAAAGGTCCTTATTTTTTGCACTAAGGAAGGATAGGTGGATCAACTTAATTCCTAAATAATTCCCTGATAAGAAATAAATTGCAGGTGGTTAATCTCATTATTTTTGCAATACCTATGGGCATGAGATGCTTGAAAAGGGAGCTGATATTAGTGTTTTCATAAGTTAACTTACTCAAGTTAACATATGTAAAACTTGGTCTTGGATGAACTAATTAAAGCTCAGTTAGTATTCCACTGAGCCAAAAGATGTTTGATTTCAAATTTAGCAAGAGTTCATCAAAGTAAATTCACGAAAGTCCTCTTTTGTAAAAGGCAGTGGACAAATTTTCAATAAGGAGAAGTATGGATTAGCAACATTATTTTTATTGGCTCTTAAATCAAAAAATAAGTTCATTTCTAAATTTCTGTTCACTTTTTATTTTATTAGAAGCATATAATTGTTTTATTATATTAATGCTGAAAAACTTCGACTCAACCAGGCCAGGAGAAACACATTAAAAATCAAAGTGACGTCTCAGTTGTACGTAAAGGCTCCTCAGATTATTTTTCTGAGGCTTGAGCAATTTGTACCTTAGAGGAGTTTGTATGACTTTGCTGGCTATTTACTTGAATTAGGTGGAGGGGGGGGGGAGGAGTCCTAAAGCAAAGAAAAATGACGGAAGTCCAAAAATATAATTAAATAAGATTGATTTTATTTATAACAAGAATTTTCAATAAGCTTTCTTTTCTTTTCTTCACCATACAGAAAATACATAAAAAATTGTATTCAAATAAATAAAAATATATTTTATAAATACTTAAATTTAAATTGTATATAAACTCGTCTACACACATAAAATTATAGTATACAGCACACTCAAACAGAATCGCTCTGGGGAGCCAATCATTCATATGAAAATCGACTCAACCAGATCTTATTATGTCACACAAGGGGGCTGATACCAATTGCAAAAACATAATCCACTGGAGATGGAATACAGATAGGATAATGACTGATAAATTTTGTTTGGTAAATTTGCACGGAAATACCATTCATGACAGTTTCATCTCATCTGGGGAAGATAACATGAAAAAAAGGGGAACTAATTTGCGACTTTCCAGAAGCCCTGTAAGTTTCCTAAATTTACAACTAAAAATTTTGATAACTTCCAAGGAAAACAAATAAATAAAGAAGGAATAATTCTTGTAATACCATTCAACTTTACAAAAATTTATACTGACAAAAATTTTCAGGAGAATGGTTTGCGAGTTACAATAAATTAAGAAGTTCTTCAGCGAAGGAGCCAATGAGCCTTGCAAGACAGCAATGATCAAATAAATATGTCGCAAGTGGTGGCAAATCAAGAATTGGAAATTTTACATCCCTTCACAATACTAAAAATGAGATGATAACGAAGAGTATTTTAGAGAAACTATCAAAGCAAGTCTCCAATTCCTTGCTTGTTCATGGTACTTTGTAGACAATAACCATCAAGGAAAGTGACACTTACAAAACACCACATTCCTTGAATGGGATCATTAGATAAACTTGAGAGATGGGTCCAATTTTAAGACAAGTGTATTCTGTCGAAGTACTCAAAGAGTATGTATTAGTATCATCAAAGTGTGGAAGTCCAAAGCCGGATAAAGACAGAAATAATTACAGTGTTATACTTATGGATAAGTTGGAGTTAGTCAATTATGTGAGGTAAACTATGGCACAATGCCGCAGCCATTCAGATGAGCTGTGTCCTATGAATTAAAAGTCGAAAAACCCTTGGCTCCAGAAAACTGGAATTTCCTTTTTTGATTTTTCGAGATATAAAATTGATGGAGGTACAGTGCTATTTTGATGAATTCTCTTAGGTCATGAGAGAAAAGAAAAAGTCTAGGATATGAACAAAGACAATAATTAAAAGTAGTTTTCCAAGGTAAATATCCAATGAAATGGACCAATAAAGCATGTTCGAAAAAGCTTGCGGAGGAAAAAAATTTACCGAATTATGAGGAAATTTGTAGGGATGAGAGATGTATGGTAATATCACCCCTGGCGCCGAAAAATCCGAAATTTAGAGTTACGTATGTTATGACAGCCTCTGATCAAAGATGACATTGCCGTTTTATTGCTTTTTTCAAGTTGAATGGCAATGCTGGATAGTGAATTGATTAGTGCTACTTGCAAAGGAGTAAATAATTAGCGAATTGTGAGATGTAAGAACTACAGCTGAAATTTTCATTGCAATTAAGAAGTCAACAGCAAAGTGCCCTGAGGTTTGCATGTGATAAGATAAGTATAACCTGCGTGGCTGTGTCAATTTCAGAAGTTCAACCTTTGGTTGAACTGGATGTTTCTATTGAAGGTTATGGTTTATCAATTTTTTTTTTAATAATCAATTTTTATTCAATTTTAAAACAGAAGCTAAATGGAAAATAAAACCAAAAAAGATGACAAACAATAAAAAAAAAAACAAACTGAATTTTAAACTTATGTAATTTGGTAAATTTTTTCGGCTTAGAGAAACCATAAAGTTAAAACATTTTACAGAAAAACTGGAGTCATTTTAATCAGAATAAAGTAATAGTGATTTCTGATTTAACTTTTTTAATGCACTTACTGCAATAATGAATGGCCAGAAATGAAGAACTGGCATAGTACGGACATAGGAGTCTGAGAAAAACCAATAGCGTCAGAACAATTAAGTAAAAACTACTTGACAAATTATACATGAATTGAAACTGTAGGAAAAAAAGTTCAACACTCAAAACACCAATATGATTAGAATTGATGAGCAGTACATCTAAATCAAAGTCGTAAGTCTCAAGAGTTGAATCAAATCCTGATGAATTTATAAAGTTTGGTATCATAGCATTTTGTAAGTTTAGACTTCAGCAACAGCACATTTAATTCGTCCCTTGACTGACATAAAGGCATAACTGCACATTGAGATGAGCCCGGAAAAGCATTGAATTGTATGGACAACAGGGTTCATTGCTGAACGTAGTTACGCCCCTATGTCAGGAGAGCGATGAATAAGGGACTGATCTTACATGTAAGCTAATAACGAAAGAGTAATGACCCATGTGCAGATTTCAGTCCTGGGCGTTCAGTCACGCTCGTCCTGGGATAAAATTAAGTTATTACATCATTAAAGGCAGTATTTTTGTAAAATCAAGGTTACACTCTGAAATGGTAGGATGTACATTCCACGCTCACTCTTGTTTTGTTCATGAGTTCATTCTTAAAATGCTACTTTATAAATACAGCAAAATACTTGCTGAGGAGGAAATATTGCTCTTGATCAAGAGAGGATTTTCCATAAAATTAGTAGCAAGTGAGAAGAAAAACATTACAAAGAACATAAAAATTATGATCAAGTAAGCGAACAGATATTCTATATTAACTATAGAATCTTGAGACTATCGAGGGCCGACTGGTGAGGACCACAGTTGATAATCAATGAACCAATAGACAAGGCACAAATTTAGGCATTCTGATGAATGTGCCGGAAGTTAAAAATTATGCATCAGAAAACGTTGATATATTGGTTAAGAGTTACTTTCAACAATTTTTGCTACTCGAATCATGTTCTACATGAAATTTTGATGAGAGAACATACATTATATTGCTTGAAGTAGCACCTTATCTAGTAATCCATTGTCACAGGTGGTCCACAGTCGCACTCATCTTTAGTTTCACACTGAATAGCCACCAGCCCTTGCGCGGAAGTCTACAGACTCACTAATTAAATATTGACTATGGCTCTCACAATTATTACTACAACTATGTGAACTCCATGCTCCATGGCCACATAATTATTGAGTGGATTTTGAATATTGTTGCATTAAACTCCATTATATGTATGAATTTTGGACAAATTTCACAAGATATGGATCATCTACACTCAACCTTAACTTCAAGATATGACAACATCTTTCCCTTGGACTTGAGGAGAAAAATTTTACCGATGGTTCATCCTGCAGGGCAAGTCCTTCTTTATATCTTTATTCCTTTAAATATATATAAAAAGGGAAGTTTTAGATGGGTAGTTAAACCAAAAGAGACTATGAGAAGACCAAGAAATGGATGAAACTGAATCATTTATAATCTGCGGCTCAACCTGAAAATTAACTAGCACAGAGTAAATTGAGATTCATTGAAATGAACACCTCAATGTTCCTCTTTTCTTCGCTTTAGTTTGTAAGTTTGCAAGATGTAGTTATTTTGAGACCCATCTTGGGCTAAAATCTGGAGTGAGAGCCCTTTAACATGTTTCTAGAATCGATCTATCAAAAATCAATACAATTTGAATGCTTCAATAAAAGTCAAAATAATTATTTACAAGATATTTTCATCAACTCTGTGTTGAAATTGCACTCAGGTTCAAAAATTTAAGAAAGGTAACTAAGAAATTGAAGTCACTTTCAAGGACTGGTCATGATTTAGCAGAAGTTTTCATTTTTTGAGGGAGAGCTAAAATTATGGCATGGAAAAATTTCGCAAGAAATTCACAATGAAGGTTCACTCATTTTTTGACGAGTCAAATTTTCCATTTTTGATGGTACATGTAACATCAACTATCTGGCCTTTGATCTACGCAAATCAAGGACTTGATGCTTACGAGGGCAAAAGTAAAGACTGACAGGTAAAGGTAAGAGATTCTACACTAAAAAGTAGTTCAATTCAAGGGAGAAAAACAGTCGAGGAGGGGGGAGTGTGAATCTTTAAGATGAATCCAAAACCCAGAACTGCATTACTGTTTTGGAACGGTTTATTTGCCTGAGAAGCAGGAGAGGGATCAAGATACTTTAACGTTAAATAAAAAAATTCCAAAAGAGGAGAGTAGAGATTTGCAGGCCCATCATTACTTAATTAGTGGTTGAGAGCATGAAGGCCTTACTTCCCCCACCCTCCATAAAATTCCAAAATTCGAAGTCAGAGAAGCACTCATTTTACAAGACAAAAAAAAGACCAAGAGAAAAATGAAATTCCAGGTCTCATTTCAAGGAGAATTAGTTGCTGAGGTTAAAATATTTTCAGTGATAGGATTTTTACTGGATGAATATTATTTCAGTTAGAATTTTTAAGCAATGGGTACTAACGGTTGTCAAAAACAAGCCACGTAATAGAGAGATTAGTTACTTTTGATTTACTCCTAAACACTGTATTTTGATGTTTGATTTTACATTGGGTGCGTCAATCTACAAGCTCAATCCTCCTAATTAAGATGTAAATTTTCCTCTGATACATCATATCGCATTGATTGAGCACATACTTTTTCAAAAATAAGACACGCAGCAGTCAATGGAAAAAAGTATCATGTCATCTGAAAACTGTAAATAATTAATCATTTGTAAAGGGTCAACCAGTCTGTCGAGTAAGTTTGATGGGTCAGGTGAAATAAAATTTGAGTATGCAGATATATCTAGCATGCTAAAGAGAAGAAAATGAATTACTCAAAAAAAGCCTGTACATTTCAAAGAAAACTTAAAAAAAAGCTAAGGCGGAACAAAGAATGATCGTTTTTCTGACGAACATTCTTATTTCAGTGCATTGAAGAAATGAATTTTTGATGAAAACTTAAGAGCTGTAAATTAATTAAATACTTTTTACAAACAGGTTAATCATAATATATGCACACATTTATTTTTTTTTCTTTTTGCTCTTTGGATACAAATAAGTGTCAGGTACAGAGGATATAAAGATAAATTTAAACACTACGCCTGAAATAAGAAAGAAATACTAAAATAGTATAATTTGGTGCAATATTACATCTCTATTTCAAAGTCCACTTTTACCCTTTAAAAAGAAGATTATTATAGTGCCAAATAATTCTGTTCCACAGATGGATTTACAACTAGGGGAGGCAGAAAATGTGAGGTACTGTACCTCTTGACAGATGATCTAAAAGGCAGCTGACAAGTAATGTCTTCATACCAATTTATAAATATTTAGATGCTAAGTCATTAGACTTAATACGGATACGTTAAAAAGTAAGGAGAGGATTACAAAGCAGAGCCATCCTCTTTTTACCAATATACCTCATTTTAGAAAGTCTACATATTGCCAACATTTGATGGTGAATTCACAAGAGATGTTGATGAGCGACATTTTTAAGCTGGCCTGAAAATTGGCAAGAGGATTCTGTTGGAAAATAGAGATTAAAATCCATAAATTCGGTACAATGCTTAGGACTGTTTGAAAATAGTGTCTAGTCCAGTTTAATCACGTCTACATGACTTTAAATTCTACATGTAATTCACAAGTTTCCAAACTGGGTTGCTGGCAATTCTTGCAGATATGTATTAAAATTTGAAAGTGCATGGTCCAAAGTATAATAAAGTTTGCATCAACATTACCCTCCAAACATCTCCAACCAGTGATCTTTTGATATAAATAATTTAAGAGCTTATGACGAAAATTTCAAAGTTGGTTTCATTCTGATTGAAGAATGCGATTGATAAAAAATCTCAGCATAATAATGAACGAGCGTTTCCTAAAGAAACCTATCCTCAATTTCACATTTCAGCAACTTTCCTTCATTAGTAATGTCCAGCATCTGCCAAAAGATCATTAGTTCCAAGAAATATGCAGATTTAAATTTAAATGCCTGCAAGAATTGCCGGATTTAGGGGAGGTGAAAATTTAAATAAGGAGGAAGGGTTCCCAATATTTGCCTATTTGGCCTATATTGCTACTCTCCTTACATTAGGTTCCCTAAGAATGTTGAAGAATAATTTGAGTGATTTGTATGTAATACAAATTAATAAAGAAGACATGAGAAACCCTCTGTAGCCATGAATGCTACTAGTGTAATAAAACACTTGAATAGTTTTCAAATAAGTTGCAAAATTCTAGTTTTTCATTTGCTGAACACTCGTCAGATTTTAAGAAGTCATAAGACTTTCAGTTACGCTTAGTTGATGAATAAATTAAAGTAAGATGCATCAATGTCTTAAACTTTGTTGACTTGTGAATCTAACTATTTTTCGTCACTGCACCTTTGTGCTCCTGTGCTAAAATTCTTGAGGGTAGTGCGATCATTATATTTGGAATACGGAAAAGCATTAAAATTGATTAAGAATGCAATTGATTCAAAAATCAGAGTCTTACTTTAAACTGGTTCAAGACTAAGTAATGACAGTTAATCACACTAAATAATTTAAAATTCACAGAACGTTTTTGTCATTAAAGTTGGGTTGGACGATAATGGATTGTTTGTGGATGACATAAGGCAATCAAAGTAAGCCTCGATACAATCATGACTAGTATATATTCTTCAACATTCTAGGGATAGCAACTAGACACTTTATGATACTGAAACATTTTGAGGTAGCGACTTAAAATAAAATGCGATGGCTTAGCTCTTAAAAAGAATTTTTCAATTGCATCTTTAAAATTGCTGCACACTTTTTATTTTGGAATTGGAAAACGTGTCAACATTATGATTTAAAATTCCCTTTGATAATTATGCAAAATTTGAGGATTTTTTCGTAAAAAATCTAAGCTATAATGTCCATTCATTGTCCTCTCAAAAAATTCCAATTTAGCCACAAGACTACTAAATTATGTCATCACATGGATGGATTGGAAATTACCAGATCTTCTCTCTTCCTTGCCGGTTTACAAAGAGCTGCGCCTATTATTATCCTCTTATTTAAGGTACCAATATTCTCATCAATAGGAACAACTGAAATTCCTAAAAAAAATTCCAGCATTTCTTTTGTGGTTCAGAAGTAACTTATTCAATGTGAAACATAAGTTTTGCACCACCCTGATAACCTTTTTGCTGACGAAACTACTGAGTTGAGACTTAATGAGTGTATTCGGACCATAAGGAGCTACTTTTCGGCTCTTCTCAAAAAGCCCCCTGGGGGGGGGGGCATAGATCTTAAATCACGTTTCTTAAATGACAGCCCCTACATTGTGATACATCACAGGAACAACTTGATAGCTACATCGGCAAAAAAGTTATCTGAATGGTGCAGGACTTTCAGATTACACTGTATTATCTTCTGAATAAATAATGCACTATTTTTCTTTTAAGTAAAGTATATTGAAAAAGAGAGAACTTGGGATTTGGCGTGATAGAAGTCAAGGATAAAATGGTGATGTTGATATTCTGTGACAAAGCCAGAGAAGGTATAGAAAGTTTGATAGCCAGTTTTGGTTAAAAAGTAAAAAATAAATTTTTTGACTAAAATGTTAATACAGTTTGATAAATTTGACTAAAGCAAGATTACATCACGGTTAAGATGTAAAATCTTGGAATTTTTTATTTAAAATTTGGATACTTCATGATGAGCCGAGGTCAGCAAAATTTTGCTCAAATCATCGACTGAGAAAACTGGGTAAAATAATAAGTTTTACACCATGAAGCAGAAAATCAAAAACTTAGTTCTTTCTTTTGTTGACTGATCAAATAAATACTTTATCTTTATACAAATTATACAGAATAATGTGTTGAGAAGAACGTATTTAAAAGTACATGGTGAAATTTACATATGTACAGTCATAATTTAACGTTAAAAGTATTTGTGGACAACCACAAAATTCTTCATTTTCAGTCTATACATATTTTTCTTAAACATTTTAAGAATACAAATTATCCACAACAAAAAAAAAGGAAAAAAAATTGACGACAACACAAGGAAATGAGCTAGCTACGATTAATAAATCACCTGCTGATGAAGAACTAATCGATTAAAATATGATTTGATAGTGAAAGAAAAGACAGAAAAAAAAGATGAGAATATCTATATAACTACGCACAATGCTCCTGAGTTTGGTCTGATATATGGGCCAATTTTTAGCGTTTGAACTAGAAAGCAAACCCAAAAAGATCTCCCAGACCTTCACCGTTGTCCAGGCTGAAAGCATAATCAGACTCGGAGAGAGGAGGCTCGAACGGTAGGAAAGGTTCTCCATTCAGATTTGTTACCGGTCCAGTCATATCAAAGACTTCTCCTTCTGTAAATGAAAATGGAAACTATTAAGATAAGCAAAATAAATGAAAAAAGTAAAGAAAAATTCGTGAAACGGTAATAGCAGATGTATATGGGGTGATCCAAACGTCCCCCACCATCCTGGTAAACCTTAAAACTCTTACCTTTTTTTGTAGAAGTCCCTCGAAAAAAGAAGGCCCCAAAAGTTGTTTTCTCGGATTCTACTATAAATCATACTAGGGTTGCTAAGAAAATGAAATTTTGATGTAAGAAGAGGAAAAATAAAATGAGATAAATTATAGCAACAATAAATGCTTGAGGAAATTATTTTAAGTTTACGCCACCGTTGAAATGAACTACCTACGTCAACAAGGAATGAGCCAAGTTTCACTGAAAGTCCGCCTAATTGAAATCAGTACAATTAGGCACCCAGATAAAATGAGCTATATTAACAAGGAAGGAATCATGGTTTCCAGAGGACCAGTGGTAATTTATTGGTCAACAGGATTTTATCTATAAATTAACATGCATCTGTCAGTTGCTGACTGATGACCGCCCTAACCTGCCATTTCTATAAAAACCTTGCTTCTTTGCTAAGCACAGTAAAAATAACAGAAACTGAAAATATTACATTCAAATACTAGATTCATTCTTCATACACATTCTAGGGAAGAACGAAAAAAGTTATGACTGATGACAAGTAAATTTGCGATAAATGAGCTAAGTATTCTCCTAATAGAATTTTGAATGAACGGACACTTGATTTCAAGCAAAATGCACTAGACCTAAAAGAAAAATTAATCTTCTCTTCACAGAATTTTTTTCTGTTTTTTTTTTCTTTCTTTCTTTCTTTCAAAGTTCATAATAAAATAATGGTACTGAACGAAGGTAATATGATATGAAAGGATAAAATTATTTCATACAAAAGGGGGAAAATGCAACAATAACATTGAAGCGCCTCAGCAACCATACTTATAATAAAAGAGAAATCATAGTTCAAAACTGAGCAGAAGCGAAAATTGTTAGCATTCTTGCATTAGTGCAAGTACAAAATAAGATGATAAATATGCCAAATGCACCTACTTAAATATTTTACTGGCTAATGCATTTCGTCCCTTTGGGCATCTTCAGAACTCAGTTATCAGTCTAAAAACTAAGAAAAATCAGTTGCCGCCATACGCGATTACAAGCTAGTAATGTGAATATTACCAC